ACAATCTGGGCATGTGCCCCGATCAGGAATCGAACAATGACCTCCTAGTTCATAGGTCAACACTCAACCACCAAGCCACACCAGCTATGTTTCCTTCCTTTGAATCTGGGCAGGTTTTTTACTCTCCCAAAACTAGGACAGTGCAGCTAAAGCGACGTTATGTGACTTTAGAAACTAGGTCAGAAAGGCAGTGTTGTTCCGCCATGTTTGCTGAAACACTTTCTTCTGGAGCCCTGAATTGCCATTAAGAAGTCCTAGTAATCTAAAAATGTATATTGTGAGTAAGCCCAAATCATGTGGAGAGGCTACTTATAGATGCTCCAGTCAGTAATTCAAGTCCTTGAGTCCTTCTAAGCCAGTGATGGTGAACCTTTTGAGCTCGGCGTGCCAGCATTTTGAAAAACCCTAACTTAACTCTGGTGCAGTGTCACTTATAGAAATTTTCTGATATTTTCAACCATACTAAATCAAGATTTATATTTTTAGTATTTATTTTATATATTTAAATGCCATTTAACAAAGAAAAATCAACCCAAAAAATGAGTTCGCGTGTCACCTCTGACATGCGTGTCATAGGTTCGCCATCACTGCCCTGAACTCTTACTCCTCACCACGCAGCTGGGCCAGCCTATTCCTACTATGGCCCAGCCGTGGGCAAACTACGTTTGAAATGAATAAAACTAAAAAAAAAAAAAAAAAAAGACCGTACCCTTTTATGTAATGATGTTTACTTTGAATTTATATAAGTTCACACAAACACTCCATCCATGCTTTTGTTCCAGCCCTCCGGTCCAGTTTAAGAACCCATTGTGGCCCTCCAGTCAAAAAGTTTGCCCACCCCTGTACTATGCTCTACCCAAATTCCTGACCACTTAACTCCATAAACATATTAATTTTTAGGCAGCCAAATGTTGGGGTAATTATACAGCAATTATATTTTGAACAGGGCACTTGAAAAATCAATGTGCACTGATCCTCTAATATAGCTCTCATCTTCTTATGTTTAAGAGTAAGTGTACTGTATTTTCTTTTATATTCTGAGTTCTGGATTCAGAATTGAATACATATCTAAAATAAAGTTATTTAATAAATTCTTAAATAAACTAATATTACTGATCCCTACGGTACACAAGGAGAGAGGGGTAAGAAAAAGGTATCTAGACCCAGCCAGTTTGGCTCAGTGGATAGAGTGTCGACCTGCGTACTGAAGGGTCCTGGGTTTGATTCTGGTCAAGGGCACATGCTGGGTTGCAGGCTCAATCCCCGTTAGGGAGTGTGCGGGAAGCACTCAGTCAGTGGTTCTCCTCATCATTGGTATTTCTCTCTCTCTCTCCCTCCCTTCCTCTCTGAAATCAATAAAAATATATCTTAAAACATAAAAAATAATCGAGGGACAGTGGCTACCTGCTGTGAGGGGGTTCACACTGGAAGGTGGTGGACACTTTTTTATATTTTCTGGCTTGTGAGACACAAGAATATATTATCTACTCAAAAACTAAAGCTAAAAAATCTTTTCTGGATTTCTTTTCCACTGAGAGAGAAGTTACAAAAGGAGAACGTCGTAATGATAATAAATTTCTAGACTCAGATATAAATAAGCGAGGGACAGTGGCTACCTGCTATGAAGGAGGTTCACACTGAAAGGTGGTGGACAAGAAAGAGACCTGACAGTTATATTTTCTGGCTTGTGAGACACAAGAACATATTACCTACTGAAAAAAGAAAGTTAAAACGTCTTTTCTGGATTTCTTTTCCACTGAGATAGAAGTTAAGAAAGGAGAACGCCGTAATGATAATAAATTTCTAGACTCAGATATAAATGAGACAGAAGTTGAATCAGTAGAGTTTAAGCTTTTGTCTGTTTTCTCCATGAAGTAGCGGAGGGAATAAGAAGAAATGTGAGTGCCCTGACCGGTTTGGCTCAGTGGACAGAGTCTTTTCTGGATTTCTTTTCCACTGAGATAGAAGTTAAGAAAGGAGAACGCCGTAATGATAATAAATTTCTAGACTCAGATATACTCGGTCTGCAGACTCAAGGGTCCAGGGTTCGATCCCGGTCAGGTGCATGCACCTTGGTTGCGGGCACATCCCCAGTTAATCAGTAGAGTTTAAGCTTTGTCTTTCTATTTTCTCCATGAAGTAGCAGAGGGAATAAGAAGAAATGTGAGGAGTGGCCACAGCATTGGGAGGCAGAAGAAAATAAAGTTTGAAATAGTAGCTGTGGAGAATGGAAGAGGGAGTATTAGAAATTCCCATGAAAACACACTAGACATGACAAATATATGTGAAAAGAAAAAACAAAGACATATGGCCCAGTTAGCTGTGTCATTTTTGTGGGAAGAGGAAATTTAAAGGCCATCTTTTAAGACAAATATCTTAGACATATGACAGCATGAAGGAATGCCAAACTAGACCCCCCTCCTCCCACTCCCACCCCCACTCCCCAGAGCACAGGTTGTCTGGAACAGGATGACGCTCAAAAATTCAGCTACTGTATTCAATTAACCCATTAACTCTGGCCTTAAGGGAAATTGTAAAAAGAGCCCTTTACTACAAACAAAGTCAAAACTGATTTTGACTTTATGGTTCTGCTCGCTATTTCAATACGAGAAAGTAGCATGTGTGATTCATCAAGAAGCAAGCAGTGAAAAAACAAGTGTCACCCTGACCGGGAACATTAACGCTACATTCCGTGCACCCTCCGCCTCTGGCAATCCCGGCTTCGTTCCCGACCCGGGTTAAGAGGGAAACAAGACGGGGAACACCTGTGTGGCCGGCTTGGGGGGGACTCTGCAAATCCTCAATTCGCCCAGCTCCCCACGTTTCCCCCTTAGATGGGTCTCCGCGGTCACCTACCCTCGTCTGCGTCATACATCGTGGCAAATGGTACCCGAACTCCTAACGCTGGAAATCACAGACAAAAATGCCCGCAGCAACCGCCGGCACCTGGAGCGTGAGACAAAGTGATTTCCGCATCCGGCGTTCCCAGAACACCCTGCGTCTGCCGCCGAAGGCCACCTACAAAGCCAAGGGAAGGTTCGCGCATGCGCGATTGGTAGGTTTGCGCGGTGAGGGTTAGAAATGCGCAGGCGCAGATTGTGGGCCAACGCCTCCTATGGCTGATTGTGGGGACCGCAAATACAGTCTGAGGATCGGATCCAGCCCATGAAGGTTTTGTTTGTTTTTCAATGTTGTTACACAAATAATGACACCTGAAAAAAAAGAAATCCAATATTTAATAAACAGTTTAAATTTCGCTGTAAGTCCGCGGCATTTAATGCTCTAGTTTTTGCACTTTTAAAGCCAAAAATCAATGCTTTTTAAAACGTGACTATGGGCGGGTTGTGCCAGCGGTGGCGCGTTGAGGAAGCCTGAAAGTGACAAAACCTTTACTAGTCTCTTTAGCTCGGCGAGCACAATGTAGATCCTGGAACCTTTGTCGCAGCTTTAAGCGGGCTCTCAAGCCTTGGAGCCTTGATGGCGAGAATTAACGGGATTAGGAGCAGGAGGAGGAGTGAAGTGTGGCGGCTGACTAATGACAGCGTGTGGTAGTCCCGGGCTTTCGTCAGCGTTCACGCGCGCGCCTCTTGGGTTCAGTGCGCGTGCGCGCACTTGGCTCCGCCCCTTGGTTCGGGGGCCACGTTCCCCATGCTGCCTGCAGGCCTCACCCGCGGACTGCTCTGGCCCTTACTTCGGGGATTAGCTTCCACGGCAGCGCGCCATGGCCTCCGGGAGCCGCTCCTCGAGAGGAGATGCGCGGCCGCCACCTCCTCCCTGCACGCATCGGGCTTGCGACTTGGGCTTCCTCGTGGCCCGACGGCGACTGCGGGTTCCGAAGGAAGGGATGACATGGAGGAGCATTTTCTGTTCCCCGAATACGTCCCGGAGCCGGAGCCCGCTCCGACCATGGAAAGGCAGCTGCGGCAGCTGCATCAGCGTCAGGAAGAGGAGGAACGGCAGAAGCTACAGCGGCGGGAGGAGCGGCGGCAGCAGAAGCTACGCGCCAGCCTCCGGGTGCACCGGGTCGTCGGGCACCCGGACCCGACCGTGCCGTCCAGCGGCCTGAACTGCTCCGGCTGCGGTGCGGAGCTGCACTGCCAGGACCCCGGCTTGCCTGGCTACCTGCCCAGCGAGAAGTTCCTGAGCGCGAGGGCGCAGGCCGACGGGCTGGCGCGGACCGTGTGCCAGCGCTGCTGGCTGCTGGTGCACCACCGGCGCGCCCTGCGCCTGCAGGTGAGCCGCGAGCAGTACCTGCAGTTGGTGAGCACCGCGCTGCGGCGGCCCGGGCCCGCCCTGGTGCTCTACATGGTGGACTTGCTCGATCTGCCTGACGCCCTGCTGCCCGACCTGCCCGCTCTGGTAGGCGCCAAGCAGCTGATCGTGCTGGGGAACAAGGTAGACCTGCTGCCCCAGGACGCCCCCGGCTACCTGCAGCGGCTCCGGGAGCGTCTGTGGGACGACTGTGTCCGCGCCGGACTCCAGCGGCCACCCAGCCGGGGAGGGCCACCTGGTGGGAAAGAGAATTCGAGTCCTTCGGCCAAGTCCGGCACTGTCCTCCGGGACGTGCGGCTGATCAGCGCCAAGACCGGGTACGGAGTGGAAGAGCTCATCTCCGCCCTGCAGCGCTCCTGGCGCTACCGCGGCGACGTCTACCTGGTGGGCGCCACCAACGCCGGCAAGTCTACTCTCTTCAACACGCTCCTGGAGTCGGATTACTGCATCGCCAAGGGCGCCGAGGCTATTGACCGAGCCACCATCTCCTCTTGGCCTGGTGAGCTTTAGGGGGTCCTCCCCCTACGTTTTCTGAGATGCTTAATGTCCACCAGGAACTGTCAGTATCCTTCCCGTTAATAATTCTCTCCCTATTTTAATAACACCTCTCTTCTGTGTCAGCGTAGTGCTTGGAAATGTAGTAGTTGCAGTCATTTTCTAATAGAAATATCTCTGGAACTCTTCTATGTTCCAGGCACTGTTCCAGGCACTAGAGATAAACCAGGCGGCAAAGTCCCTGCTCTCCTTGAGGTTTCCCTTGGAGCTTTACTTTGGATGTGTACATGGCAGTCCTTGGACTTTCTAAACCTACCTCCACTATCTTGAGTTTATTCGTGTGATCAGTATACTCTACACATTTAACCTTTGAATAATTCACTAATGCAGTATGACGTGTGGCTTTGTTGAAAGAAATGTCCATTTTGTGGTGTGTTCGTTTTGTTAATCCTCACCCGAGGATATTTTTCCATTGATTTTTAGAGAGAGTGGAAGGCGCGGGGGGGGCAGAAAGAGACACAGAGAAACATCGATGTGAAAGAGACAAATCAATCGGCTACCTCCTACACTCACCCTGACCAAGGCTGGGATCAGGCCTGCAGCCTTACGTACATACCCTAGACTGGGGATTGAACTGGGACCCTTCA